TCATGAGCTGCTCTCAGGATTCTTTGTTTGTCTTTGCTTTTGCTGAGTGTGATTATGATATGCCTTTGTGATTTTCTTTTGGGGTCTATCCTATATGGGGTTTCTTGAGCTTCTTGGATGGCCAGCTTTTCATCTTCCATGATATTGGGGAAGTTTTCTGCCTGCAGTTCTTCAGTGATCCTCTCTGTGTTTTCTGTTTTCTCCCCGTTCTGGAACTCCAATCACTCGAAAATTTTTGCTTCTGATTATATCCCACATAAGTCTCAGGGTCTCTTCATTTTCTTTGTTCCTTTTTCTGAGTTTTCCTCGAACAAAGTTATATCCAAGTGTTTGCTTCAATTCCACTAATCCTGTCTTCCACCGTTTCTATTCGTCAGCCCTTCTGTGACACTGTCCATTTCTTAAATCTTGTTCATCTTTTGGATTGCTAATTGTTGTTTTTGTATAATTTCTAGTTGTGGATTTATTTTGGCATTTTTTTCCTGCTTATTTTCCTGAATTCTTCCAATTTTTTGTCTGTATTTTCCATGAATTTGTCTGCTTTTTCCTTGAATTGTCTATTTTTTCCTGATTTTTGTCTGCTTTTTGCTTCAACTCTTGAATAATTCTGAGTATTAGAAATTTTAATTCCCTATCAGGTAGTTCTAGTGCCTTTTCTCCCACTGGAAAGTCATTTGGTGTTTTATTTTGGATGCCTAATGTAACTATCCTGTCCTGTTTTTGTAAATGTTTTGATATTTTCTGCTGTCTTTGGGGCATTAAGTAGTTATTTTTCTTGTTTATTGACTGTACATTTGTTTGTTTTGTCCTTTTTTTTTAAATTTGGCTATGTCTGAGCAGGCAGGCTGTGTATTCTTTGTTGTTTTCTTGTCTGTGGGCACGATACTTTTCACCTCCTTCTTCAACTGGCAGGGTCAGTCGCTCAGATATGGTACAGCAGGGTAGGTCTAGCTGAAGAGGAGTTACTGGGACGGGCTGTTTGTGGCATTTACTACAGCCGCCTGGGCAGGTCGGTAATCAGTTCAGCACAGGTTCCATTAGGCTGTGCCTGTTTTACTTGGTAGTGTGATGTTAAGTGCACAGTGCAGGTAGGCAGGATGTAGGGGGGAGATTGTTATGTGTGGAGCTAAGATGGATAAGGGAGAGAGGAGAGAGGAACAGGAGCCAAAAACATGCAAAGAAAGAAAAAATGAGTGCTAGGGGGGCTTGCCGTTGGAATCAATAGATGAGAGACTATGAAATGGAGAAAAACAAAAGGGCATGAAGAAGGAAAAAAAAAAGAAAAGAATGAATAAATAAAAATCAGAAAGGAAAAAGAACAGCAAAGTTCTCAGGGATCCCACCAGTGCAGCTATGAGGTCTGGGGAAGTTGTTCTCAGGTGTTGCAGTACAGCCTGTCTAGAAGGTGTAGATGTATTCAGTGCCAGGTATTTAGGGAACAGAAGGAGAAGGAAGGTATAGGGAGACGAGAAAGTTGAGTAATGAAGAAAGAGAAAAAGGGAAAACAAAATGAATTAAAAAAAAGAAAAGAACAAAAAAAGCCCCCAAAAAACCAGGGGAAAAAAAAAAAAAAACAACGAAAAAATAAATGCTCTCAGGGATCCCTCTGTGTGTCTGAGCAAGGTGAGGGGAGAAGTTACAAGCCATGCAGCACTGCCCAGCCAGAACGGGCTCCCAACTCAAGAAAAGGAAAAGAAAACAAACAAACAATTCAAAACAAACAAACAAAAGCCTCGGGATCCCACCATTGTGGCAGTCCAGACTGGGAAGCAGTCCCACACTCGAACGGAGCTCCCCAGCCCCTCAGGAGGAAGCAAAGATGGTGCACGCAGCCAGGTATTTGAGCAAAAGGAGGGGGCAGTGGTGAGAGGAAAGGAAGGAATCAAAAGAAGTGGAAAAAAAGCAACACCAGCAGCCAACAAATGGCACTCAGAGAGCCAGCCAGTGCGGGCGGGTGGAATCCAAGCAGCCAGTGATTCCCAGACAAGAGACTGTGGCTGTGGGAAGCAGGGGAGCCTGAGTTGTGGTGAAGAAGGGTTGGGGGTGGGAAAGCATGTATCGCAAATTACTGGAGCTCCACAGCCCCTCAGGAAGGAGCAAAGATGGCACACAGAGCCAGGTATTTGAGCGAAAGGAGGGGGGGGTGGTGAGAGGTAAGGAAGATATCAAAAGAAGGGGAAAAAAGCAACACCAGCTGCCAGCAAATGGCCTTCAGAGAGCTGGCCAGTGTGGGCGGGTTGAATCCAAGTAGCCGGCGCTTCCCAGACAAGAGACTCTGGCTGCGGGAAGCAGAGAAGGCTGAGTGGGGGTGAAGAAGGCTAGGGTGTGGGAAAGCGTATATTGCACATTACCGGTTGTTTTGTCTCCCGCTGGAAGTTCCGTGAAACTGCTTTCTCGTACCCCCTATTTGCTGGTGTCCGGTAGGAGTCCAAGATGGCAGATCCACGCTGCGTTAGGTGATAGAGGACATCTGCATGAATCTCTCCTCGCTCTCTGTTCTCTGTCAGTTTTCTCACTCTATTTGGTGCTTAGCTGAGTTCTTTATCTCTTCATTTGATGTTTTAGGGTTTCAGGATTGCTGTTTTCTCTGTTTGGCTTGGTTTTTCGGATCTTTGCTGTGGAGGGACAGTGTGGTGCTTCTGCCTAGAGTGCCATTTTGCCAGAAGTCCTCCTAAACAATTTTTATCCATGCCATTTTTGTTTAAATTATACGAATCAAGAAAATAAAACTTGCTTATATCTTTAAACGGCTTAAAATTTTTAATTTGTGTTCAGAAGCTCATTGTCCCAATTCCTTTCTGTACTCATCCTTCGTAATTATGTTCCCTTAGTAATAAGGATCTTTCCAGTAAATAAATCGGTAAGTCTTTACTGAGTACCTAAAATGTGTCCAGAGTTGTGTAAGATGCTGTTGAAGAAATATATGGCCCTTACCTCAAAGACCATGAAATCTAAAGGAAAAGACTGCACTTCTAGAAAAAAGCAAGGAAAAATATATGCCGTGTGAAAGTGAATGATGAATATTGAGAGACAATCTCTGAAGCATTACGGTCAGGAGGCTAATGTATGCTAAAGTAGTTAAAGAGAACTTAACCTGGGCTTTGAGCATTCGTGTGAGGGGATTGCATTTCATCTTGGAGTTGAATGACTGCAGAGGTACCCAAATTTAAAGCCAACTAGCAAGCCAGTATGATTGTCATTCACATTTAAAAGTTAATTGTTATAAACCTTTTTTATATAGAAAAATATAAAAATGGAAATATAGTTTAAAATCTTAGAAGATTATAGACTAAGTGAGGTGCTTACACATGTCTTTGTATTGTAAATTTTCCATAAGATGTTGAGAACTGACTACAAAAAGAAACTTATTTGTGTCTAAGTCTGTAACAGAAGAGAGATATTTTCAAAATGCATTTCATTTGTGGTTTCTGGTTGAAGTCATGGTTTTATACTGGAGATTATTTTGAAGTAACAGAACTAATAAATAGAGAACAGCTGTGCCAATAGCCTTAAATGTCACATAATAAACTAAAGTGAAATATTTATAAATCAGCAAAATACAATGCAGTTTTTGTTTGACTTTTAAAGATGATACTTTCTGTGTTGTCACATTTTGTTTGGTGGGAACTATAAAGATGAGCTGGATGTAGCATTTGAGCACAGAAATATTTTATGCTTCTCAATTTATTTGGCTTGACATGAGGCCCTTAATGAAGTCCAGTGTGTACAGGCATGTGGCCTCTGGGGTCTGTAATAGTGTGAGCAGGCTGGAACAGCAGAATATAATCAGAATACGATATTTTTACGCAAATAACATGCACCACCTATGTTTGTCAACCACAGCCTCCCCTCCCCCCCAGGTATTTTAATAAGTGCACTATGCAATTTTTTTTTTTTAAATAGCAACAGATAAAAAAAATTGGCATAGTGGTGCTTATGAAAATACCTGGGGCAGGGGTGGGGAGGGTGTGATTGGCAAATAAAAGTAGAAAGTACATTATGTGCCTATTGGCAACGGGTTTGGTTTTTTGGTTTTCTAAATCATTTCTGTAGGAATCCCTCCCTGGGTGGCACAAATGGTTAAGTGTTGGTCTACTAAATGAAAGGTTGGTGGTTCGCACCCATCCAGAGGCACCTCAGAAGACAGACCCGGCAATCTGCTTCCAAAAAGTCACAGCCTTGAAAACCCTATTGAGCAGTTCTACTCTGCGCACATGGAGTTGCCGTGAGTGGGAATCGACTCAACAACGATCAACAATAATTTCTCTGTTTCTGTTTCTTATCTGCCAAGTGATGGATACCTCTGTTCCTTTCAGAATTCCATAACTATAACTAAAACTGTATTATATGATGTTATTTACAAATATTCCCTAATAGAGGAATTAAGATATTTCTCTATCTTACCTTTTTGCAAAAGTATGCTTTTGACACTTAACATTATTATTTGTAACTTATAATAATAAATCGTTGGTTTTAGATGAAGGAATCAGTTACTATGTAGTGCTCCTAGCCTTATCAATCCTAGAATCCTAACTTTCTTGTAGTTACTACCAAAATTTTTATCTTTTTTTAGAAATAAGTTATTGTTGTTAGCTGGCATAGATTATTCCATTTTATTCTCTGTATTAAGAGAAACTAGAGTTAAAATCATGTATAATTTCTTTTGTTATAGTGAGCAGAGTTACTTAAAATCAGGTTATAGCAAAAAGATGGTAATATTCTTGTATGGCATTTATGTTGCTTTTTTTTTGCTAGGAGTTGGCAGAGTAATTTACCTGCTTCAAAGATTATTCTTACATTACTGCTGATCTGTATGATAACCTTTAGTAAGAACGTAGGAAGTAACCCACTTATTTGGTCACTGTATTTATATCTGGCAAATGTGATGTATTTAAATCTTACACTTTTCTTTTCTCTTAGAAGAGATTGTGCATATTTAAAACTGGGCTATTCAATCTTGATATTGTCACAAAACTAATCGTGTTTTCTTTTCATCCTAGTTCAGGCTTGGTTCCTTCAACCTAGAGAAAGTTGCAAGCCCAGCTGAGGTCATTAGAGAGCTTATTTGTGACTGCCTGGACACCATTGCAGAAAACCAATCCAAAAACCAGCACCTGCAGAAAGAAAATGAACGGCTTCTGAGAGATTGGAATGATGTTCAAGGACGGTGTGTGGACAATGTGATTGTATTTTAAAAACACCGAGTTCTCTGTATATCATTTTAGCTTTAAGCTTATGATTTATAAATTTATAATGCAGATAGACTAGTGTATATTTAAAATAAACTCTGTCATTAATTATACCTTTACTTAATATGATTAAACCAAATTATTGGTCACTGTTACACATTATGGAAACCCTGGTGGCGCAGTGGTTAAAAGCTATGGCTGCTAATCTAAAGAGCAGCAGTCTGAATCCACAAGGTGCTCCTTGGAAACCCTATTGGGCAGTTCTACTCTGTCCTATAGGGTTGCTATGAGTTGGAATCGACTTGATGGCAGCAGATTTGTTTGATGGTTATTACACATTATGAAAGTGCATTAACACTTTTAGGACATTAACGTTTGGTGACATTAGCAAGCTTATATGCAGTAAGGAATAATTGGATATTGAGAATCAAAACCCATTAACCAAAATTTAGGTAGTGGTTATTTATAAGGATTAATTCAACTCAAATGAAAGGATTAATAATGAATAAAAAAAAGAATGTAAAATAAGCACACTCAATTCTTTAATTTTAATTTTGTTTCAATGGCAGTTATCTCATATGATGTGTCTTTTGACTCCTACTAGAGAATTATTTTTCCCAGTTGAATGAAAATTCATACTTCCAGCCTTTTATAAAAGATGAAGTAATTGCTACTGAATGAGATATTTGAAAGTTTTTTTTTTGTTGTTTATTGTTGTAGTTTAAATGAAGTTTATATTTCTAGTTAGTCTCCCATACAAAAATTTATACATACATTGTTTTGTTACCCTAATTGCTCTCCCCATACAGTGACAGCACACTCCTCCTTTTCACCCCTGATTCCCCATGTCCATTCAACCAGCTCCTAGCCCTGTCTGCCTTCCCATCTCACCTCTGGACAGAGGCTGCCCGTTTAGTCTCTCGTATCTACCTGAGCTAAGAGGCACACTCCTTACGAGTATCACTTTATGTCCCGCGGTCCAGTCCAATCCCTGTCTGAAGAGTCGGCCTCAGAAATTGTTTTAGTTCTGAGCTGATAGAGAATCCAGGGGCCATGCTTCCCAGGGTTCCCCCAGTCTCATTCAGACCATTAAGTCTGGTCTTCTTACTAGAATTTGGATTCTGTACCCCACCTTTCTCCTGCTCTGTGAGGGATTCTCTGTTGTGTTCCCTGTCAGGGAGGTCACTGGTGGTAGTCGGCCACCATCTAGTTCTTCTGGTCTCAGGCTGATGAAGTCTCTGGTTTATGTAGCGCTTTCTGTCTCTTGGGCTGATAACTTTTGTTGTGTCCTTTGCTGTTCTTCATTCTCCTTTACTCCAGGTGGTTGAGACCAATTGATGCATCTTAGATGGCCACTTACAAGCTTTTAAGACCCCAGATGCCACTCACCAGAGTAGGATGCAGAACATTTTCTTAATAAGCTTTGTTATGCCGGTTGACCTATATGTCCCCTGAAAGCATGGTTCCCAGACCCTACCCCTGCTACTCTGTCCCTTAAAGTGTTTGATTGTATTCAGGAAACTTCTTAGCTTTGGTTTAGTCCAGTTGTGCTGACTTCCCCTGTAGTGTGTGCTGTCCTTCCCTTCACCTAAGATAATTCTTATCTACTATCTAGTTAGTAAATAACCCTCACCCTCCCTCCCCACCCTTGTAACCATCAAAGAATGTTTTCTTCTGTGTTTAAACCTTTTCTTGAGTTTTTATAATAGTGGTCTTATACAATATTTGTCCTTCTGTGACTGACTAAATTCACTCAGCATAATGCCCTCCAGATTCCTCCATGTTATAAGATGTTTCACGGTTTCATCAGTGTTCTTTATTGTTGCGTAGTATTCCATTGTGTGGATATACCATAATTTGTTTATCCATTCATCCATTGATGGGCAACTAGGTTGCTTCCATCTTTTTGCTATCGTGAACAGTGCTGCAATGAACATGGGTGTACATATATGTATTCGTATAACGGCTCTTATTTCTCTAGGATGTATTCCAAGGAGTGGGATAGCTGAATCGTATGGTACTTTTATTTCTAGCTTATTAAGAAGCGCCAAATCGATTTCCAAAGTGATTGTATCATTTTACATTCCCACCAACAGTGTATAAGTGTTCTAGTCTCTCCACAACCTCTCCAGCGTTTATTATTTGGTGTGTTTTGGATTAATGCTAGCCTTGTTGGGGTGAGATGATATCTCATTGTAGTTTTGATTTGCATTTCTCTATTGGCTAATGATCGTGAGCATTTCCTCATGTGTCTGTTAGCTGCCTGAAGATCTTCTTTGGTGAAGTGCCTGTTCATATCCTTTGCCCAATGTTTAACTGGGTTATTTGTCTTTTTGTTGTTGAGGTTTTGCAGTATCTTGTAGACTTTAGAGAATAGATGCTAATCAGATTTGTCATAGCCAAAAATTATTTCCCAGTCTTTTGGTGAGCATAAGTGTTTGATTTTTAGCTCCCAGTTATTTAGTCTCTTTTCTAGTGCTTGTAAATTGTTACTTATGGTTTGCATTCTGTTTATGTCATGTATTAGGGCTCCTAGCATTGTCCTTATTTTTACTTCTGTGATCTTTATTGTTTTAGATTTTATATTTAAGTCTTTGATCCATTTTGAGTTAGTTTTTGTGCATGGTGTGAGATATGGGTCTTGTTTCAGTTTTTTCGGAGATGAATATCCAGTTATGACAGCACCATTTGTTAACGAGACTGTCTTCTCCCCCATTTAATGGACTTTGGGCCTTTGTCAAATATCAGCTGCTCATAGGTGGATGAATCTTTTTTTTTTTTTCAATTTTTTTATATTTTTATTGTACTTCAGGTGATGGCTTACAGAACAAATAGTTTCTCATGAAACAGTAGTACACATATTGTTTCATGATATTGGTTAACAACCCCACAACTCGTCAACCCTCTAACTTCTCTACCTTTTTTTTTTTTTTTTGGTGAAAATACACATAGCCAAAGATACACCATTTCAAAAATTTCTACATGCATAGTTCAGTGACAATGACTATGCTCTTCCAATTGTGCTGTTATTCTCACTTAAGATGAAGCCTTACAGAACAAAAAAGTTTCTCATTTAACAGTTACTACA